TCATGACCTGGAGTTTTCGATGCATTTCGCCAATCTCCTGAAGTACTTTTCGGCTGTTACGGTTTCACCCGGATCCATGAAGCTGTGGTGGTCAACCCAGCTGCAGACCACCAAACCAGCACCATGACCTTCTTTCCATGCTGCTTCGGCTTGAAAAAATGTAGTGGGGCTTAATCCTTGTTCAGATGCCGGCCTGATCGTCGCCGGTTGTCATAGAATCTATTTCTCATCATACGTCACAGTACGGTCTAAATATGGATCGTTCCTGTTGCGCAGAAGCAAGGCGGAGGCGAGCTCGAAGCGGCGGTCTTTCTGGTGCTAGGCCAACTCATGCGGCACCCACTTATCAAGCTTCTTCGACTTTCCGTCTCCTGCATGAGGGTGCCAACCTTTCTGCTAAAAACGTTCAATCTCGAGCCAATATCCTTCAGCATTGTACGTGGATTCTCTTCCACTAACCTTCTCAATTGTTCGCTTTCAATGGCTGATGACCGCCCATTACGCTCATCATCTTCCAGGCTCTCATTGCCGGTACGATATTTTTTAAAACACCACGATGCCGTAGGTTGATTCGTCGTACCTAGACCAAGGGCATTGTTGATATCTCGGGGCGTTTCCGTCGCACTCCTGCCTAATTTGAATTGGAAAAGATAAATCGTGCGAACCTGTCGTTCGTTCATTCTGATTTCGACCTTCTAAAAAACTTCGGGAATCATTCAAGGACAAAATCAATTATATATTTGAATAGAGCAAGAAATGCGCTTCAGAACTGTATATAGCTTGCAAACAATGTTATAGCAAATAACACCGCGGCGAGCTTTTGTAAATTGGGCGTCAAAAAACGCAAGAACTTTTTTCACGACCTATTAGATCGCTAGGCAATTATCTGTGAGTTGCGTTAAAACTCGGATGGTCTGAATGTTACCTCAGAGGTTCCGCATTCCTGTAAGTATCTGGGGCGTGCTGTAACCTTGTTTGGTTTGATGTTTTAACCTATGAACGTGCAACATTTATTTGGATTACAAGGAGATTTCAGGCAATTTACTCATAATAATGGCACAAATCATTGTTGCTATACAAATGGTATATGAGCAGAAGTATCTGAATCAGTATGATGTGCCAGCACTGTTTGCTGTTGGGCTCGAAGGTATGTTGATGGAAGGAATGGGCTTTATACTTGAGTTTTGCCCCGGATTACTGAAGGTTTTTATGTATGAAATCTAGATAAGATGAAGAAGTCTGTATCATTAATTGAATTTTCGAATAACTACTAGAATCGCTCGGCTGTGGGTTTCCTTTTTTGTAAAAGAGTCAAAGCATACTTTTGACGCCGTGCATTACTCTTTTCTGTACAATAGTTTAACATCTTTGAGCAAGAAAAAAATCATTTCTTCTTATTATCTTGACTGCTTTTCTATAAACACCCATGGAGTAGCGAAGTGATTTCTTTCTCATTCGTACAGTCCAATCTCCTGATTAACCATGAAACGAAGGGTTCCTGCAGAGAACCTTGTCATTTCAGAGCACCTTCTTCACGCTTCATTATAACTCCGCATTACCCCTTCTCTGCACAACCATTACTGAAGACTAATGTGTACCTAGCTGAAGACAGATCCACTTCTTGTCGAGTGTTCCGGCTTTTTGCAGATGATTTTGGTGGAGTTGAGCTGATTAATAAAAACTAGTTTTTCTTATGCTCTTGAATAGTTCCTCCTGATCACTTTCCATTGTTGCGACCAATGCTGTAATAGTTCGCTGAGGGTTTACTTTCCACAATTTTCTGGATCTATGCGAACGGTTTCTTGGAACAGGGTGGTAGTGGTATCGTGGCAAATGGCGCACTTCACACTCACAAAGTTGATTAGTACCATACTCGCCTGGGAGGCTGCTTTCAAACCTCGAAGACCGTCCATCCGTCCGACGCATGCGTGCTGTGACGGTGGTGCTAGATGGATGTTGACAACACTAGATCACGTGCCAGCGCTGTCAACACCAATCCAGAACCGCCGTCGCGCACGCGCGGATCGGACGGACGGACGGACGGACGGACGGATGACTCGTTGAGGTCTGAAAGCAGCCGGAGAATAAAAGCACTGACTTGTACATCGGCTGACCACCGCAAGTCATTGTATAGGCCATATACGCATTCAATACTGCACTAGGATTCTGAATGGAAGTCGAATGTATGAGCTCATTCTCTTGAAGGGATTAATTAACGCCCCAAAACTTTATCCTATAGATACATAGAATGTAGCAAAGCAGAAATATTACGTGCTTCATAGCTTGCAAGGGCGAGCGCTTCACTACGAAAGTCGCGGCCATTTAATGGTTGCTGCTTTTTAACACTCAATATGAACTGTTAGCCTCTACTTATTAACACTTCGTATTATTCACAACTTATTGGTTCAACACAGATCTACAGCTAATCAAAAAAAGTTTAATGGAGATGCTTAAGTATACTGAATATGCTTTTTAGGTTTGTTCGGTATGACTATTTTGTCTGTATTGATGGTGCCAATGTATTACATTCATGTCCCGCACACTTTTTCCACAAATCCGGAAGGAAGACTCGAGGTAAGAAGTTTTCAATATTTGCTACTGGAAGGAGATTCTCTTACAATTGGTATTCATCTCAACAATTTGTTTCGAGGATATTTTCTTCGCCATGAAGGAAATCTCTGAACAGCCGTGGATTGCTGTAGCTCTAGGTGGAACCGTTGTCAGGTAACGTCCTTGAATGATGTTCTGGTTCGAAATGTCTTACCTAAACTACTGCTTCAGTATTGCTTTCTTCAATTTCGCTGGGGTTTCCGTTACCAAGGAGCTTTCGGCTACAACTCGAATGGTTCTTGACAGTGTCAGAACGTTGGTCATTTGGGCGTTCAGCATTCCATTCTTCGGAGAACAGTTCATTCCTCTTCAGGTAGGTTATTTGTTTTCTTTCTCTCCAGTTTGACTTCGCATCAGTTTAACTTTTTTCTTGAATAGTAGTACCATGACGGCTTTTAGTTACGAGTCACTTGACTACTCCTCGTCCTTTTAGATTCTGGTCTTCCAATTGAGTGCTATTGCAATTTCTTTCTTTTTAGCTTGTTGGTTTTGCACTGCTTATTCTTGGCATGTTTGTCTACAACGACATACTGATCGGTCCATGGTTCCGGCGACGTGTGCTTCCAAACATGGGAGACTCTAATCTGTGCACCAGGTCAGTTTTAAGTTGTATGAGAATGCTGAATGTACTCCTTTGTTCATGTCTTGCTTCAGGTGCTGGTTCTCGATATGTGGAGCTGATTTGGATGAAGTGGATCAGGAGAGTTTAATAAACGATGATGTATAATTTACATGGAAGGGAAGTCACACTTTCCCCACTTTTTCTTACTGTTCAATGCAATTTTCCACAGTACATGGTGTAAATGGTTTTTCTCCGAACGATGCTGAGTTAGGTGCCATTATAGGAAATTTGTGGTGCTCGTTTATAACAATTTTTCTATTTATTTATTGTATTTATTGTCTGGATCCACTGTTACTTGGGAGGGAATTCGAAGAAAAGAAAGCGTTTTCTGAGGAGGATGTGCAGTTCTTTCGCCGAGACACCGAGGTACACTGCACATTGTGGCGCGCAACGTAATGCGATTCAAGGTTGAAACTACATTTCAATGCAACAGTTCTTAACAACTGAGAGCGCTTCGTTTTCATCGCGTTACATAAGCATCAAAAAATAATGTGAAGTGGTGAGGAATCAAAGCGTAGAAAGCATTCTGAAGTGTATGCTTACATACGAATTGAAGAATCGAAAGAAAAAGATCTAAAGTCTCAAAAGAGAAACCAGGCTTCCCTTCCTCAAGTCTGACTACGGTAGTGTCATCGCAGGCTTACGGCAAAAGGTGTAAATCTCAATCGCATTGGGTCGCGAGTCGCGAGTGTGGCGTGACCCTATAACCTCGGCGATAGAATCGCAGCACACCTGTTCTTTCATATGAAAAAAATTATGGCGTTACATCATCTTAAGGAAATCGTGATAGTATAAATAATTGCTTCCTTTTCATGTGTTCTTTTACAATATTTTGAATATAGTTATGTTGCGGTTACTGGGGGTCATTGTATTTGCAATCATGAGTGTTTTATTACGATTACTGCAAGCGTGTTCATTACGTGATAAGTTTGTGTTGTTCTCCATTTTTGACTCTCCCACATTGTTTCATTTTGACGACTGCTTTATTCTTTGGATGCGTCCGTTTGTGAAAATGTCAATTAGCTGAATGAATACGAATTTCTCACGTCACGTATAGAGTCTCCAAATTTAGTTTCGGTGTGAATCTCATGGTAGGTGGGCGTTCGTTGAGTACATGTTTCACATTATCTATGAGATTGTCGAATTATGAACCTAATGCTCTACTTCCAGGATAAGATAGATTTTTTGATACAAGTGTCTGTTTTTGTAAATTTCACTCCCAATACCATAATATTTTCGAGATGTGGGAGCGTTCGCTAATCGTACAAATTCGTTCTGGGGCTGGCGATCGCATACCTCTGACTAATGACTTTGCAAACTCTCTTCGTTGGAATCTCCATGAAGGAACCCTTCTACGATGCAATTGATGTCTAATCGGGTGAGGCGGCGGCAAAAACTGGGACGATCAATTGTACGGGCAGTAGCGGTCTCTAGAGTCAGATTGGTTTCCTGCTCGAAAATATGTTGTGACATAGGCCGTTCCCATAGAGGTTTCTACATAGTAACCTTAAACAACGGCCAGTCCGAAATCGCCTGTATGACCGCCTGTGCACAACGCCTTCGTGTGCTATATGCACAGGGAGGAGACCGCATGGCATCCGGTGTTGTGTATTTAATAAGGTGTCCTAAGTGTCAAGAGGAACACACTAGGAAAACAGGCAATCTAAACGAAAATGCAGTACGGGCACTCGGTTCTCACAGTACCCTGGCTTCTTCACCACTCATCCCCGTTTCCTTGCCCAAAGATCCTTTCCGAGGCTTCGCATATGTGACGGGTGAGAATTCGCGTTTTTAAGTTAGATTATGCCGTACCGGTTTATTTTATTACTGTGATAGCCGAGTGCCGTGCTGAATTTTCGTTTCTGTAAACAGGCAGGCCTCTTTGTTTCAGAGTAAAGGAGTCCATGGATGGCATGCAAAATCCGAGAGCAGCTCCTCTACGAGAACATGGAGGAGGAGCTATTCTCACTGATGTCACGGGAACACGAAGGTGTCGACCAGGAATGACCACATGAATCCGATATTGCGGCGCAAAGTAACAGAAGGAAAGAGTGTGTGGCGGTTATCTTAGAGCTGGTGCTCTTTGTAGCACTGTTCGACATTTGATCTACGCTATCGGTTCCCCGGGAAGTCCTCTCGGCGGGGTGGAATGACGGGGCTTATACAGTAATCGATAGGATTTGATTGTGAAGGGGTCAGCGCTCGGCCTTGTGTGGTTTCAAGGAGGCTAATGTACGTGATCAGCCCCTTGGAGGCCCCTGAAGCAAGTTGACCTGAGACTCACATTGGAACCGTAGTCATACCAGCTTGGGGTGATCGGTGGGCTGCACAGATTGACTATCAAAATGTGAGGTGTGTGAGTCGATGATATCTCACTTAAAGGCACAGTTCACGATAAATTCGGGTAATCCAGATTATGACGAAAAATGGAAGATAAGATGGAAAACAGTGCGATGAAGGCGAAGGAACTGCGTGAATCGGTGTTTCCAAAGTGATAACAGTCTTCGAAAAATCGTTAAAAAGGGGACCAGAATGAAACCCAAAGAATGAAGAGTGGGGCGCATGGACGAGCTATACAATGTGGGTCATTGCGTACGTGTGGGTCCAGGTGCCAATAAATGACTGCGATAAGCAAAAATTCATACACTCATAAGCATAAGTAAACAAAAAACCCCAGTAACAGCAAAAATAGTTCACCTTTTTCGCGTCTTAGGGTAGGCAATTAAATAAGGGATTGCGGCAGCAAAAAGAGTAACAGAGGAAAAAGAATGGGAGAAAACATCGCCCCATCACTCGGGGATCAGCTGATTTTATGTGGTTCCTAGAACGAGTAATTGCAACTTGTATCGCCTCGACACTCATCTGACGTGACATTGATCGAGAGGAGGGAAGGCCGCGCGAACCGGGGACAGGGCTTCCACTATGCCCTAGCCGTCGAGTTTTTAGGCGCGAGAGGGTCCTTTCTATTACCCTTGGGGACCACTGAGTTTTCCTGCGGGATGGAGTCAGTAACCATTTTCATCGTGAGCCGCGCCTTTAAATGTGCAGCGCCAACAATATTTAGCCTAATTTCAGGTATAAAGGCCCCAGAAAGAGGTTCATGAATACAGTCCTCCGAGCATGATATTCCTTCCCCACCATAATTCTCATAGCAATATGATCTTGTTTGTTTGTTGTATATCTGATCTTTAACCAATTTTTCTTGTTGCAAACAGCTACAGGCCTGGACAATATTCCTGCGGGTTCGATCCGTCCTAGGAATACCGCTCTTCATGCCCTTTTTGCAGAAACTTCTAACCACTTCCTCAAATTAAGAAGGATTCCAGAGTAGTGGAAAGAGTCAAGAATCAATTTCCTTATTCAAGAAAGGTCAGCGGAAAGACTTCTCTAACTACCGCCCCATCAGTGGTGTTAGTTAGAAATGTCTTCTCTCGGTGGTGTATGACTAAATCACAAAAAATTTGCTTAATCGCATGTGATGCATCTTGGACGAATGCCAACCAGTGGAGCGGACCGGATTCGTGCATGGACAACATCCAAGCAGTCACTCAGCTTATTGAGAAAGTCGAAAGTATCACTTTCTTTTGGCCTGTCTTTTCGTGGATTACATAAAAGCATCCGACTGTGGAGGTCAACGCTGCTCGGAATGCTCTTATGCAAGCCGGAATTAGTTCCGGCTATGTCTAGCTTCTCGAACAGTGTCTTTCAAACATGTCACTATTCATCCAATTGTTCGAGCGGAAGATGATTTCATTTGGAAAAGGGGTACGAAAAGGAGATACGATATTTTCAAAGCCTCTCACGGCTGCGCTACGATATGCGATGTTGAACCTCAACTGGGAAGAACTTTACTAACCTCTGCTTCGCCGATGATATCGTCCTGATATCTATTAGGGAAGCACTGTCGAAATGGAAAAGATGTTCATGCGGATGCGGTAGGCCTGCGGATAGGCTCGAAGCTGGATATGTCCGAAACGCTGTTGATGGTGAAAAAAGGATGCGAGGATAAAGTTACAAGGAGGAACACTACAATGATTTGAATCCTACGTGTGACTTGGTAGAGAACCGAACATGATGAACAATATTGCTCTGGAACCAAGTAGGAGAGGACGTCCCGCATGGGCAGCTTTCGATTCAATTCGTGAAGTGACAGACCAGGTCAGTGACCCCCACCTTTGAAGCAGAGCCCACGATAATTTTGAGGTGGCTCTTTTCAGTAAAAAAATAGAAGTGTAGGTGAGAATACTTAGTCAGTAGTGACGAGAAGGAAAAAATTCCCCGATTACGAGAGAAATAAAGCTCTTCAAAAGTAGGGATAACAGAGTTTGGACTAGATTACCATGACGGAAATAACATTGAAGTGATATTGGAACCAGATCTCAGTTGTTGCAATTGCGCAAAGGACTGACTACATCAAGCCACAACTGTACAGAGCTACTTCCCACTGACATTATGGGTCATGACAAGTCGTTTGGTTTCCCTAAATTGGCTTCCTTGCGTTTGGTGCAGCCTCTGCAATGCTGGTGGAATACACGAGGATACACAAGATACAAACCTTGAGCCTTTATAACGCTCTATCTAAACCGTTTTCAGGCATGACAGCGCCATACGGCATACGGGGGTCCTATAAATTCATTCTAGCATATCTCAAAAGTCTTTTTATCATGAACTGCGCCTTTAAGGCATCGATATTCGACGCTTCAGTACTGCCAGCGATGTGTTATGCGAATGAAACGTGGCCTGACAACAAAACAATGGCTGAAGCCATGAAAACTTTTCATCACGCATCAGAAAGAAGTTTCCTGAAGATCAGTCGTAGCCAACAGTGGCAGCAAGGCTTGCTAAATGCAGACCTAAAGGAGAGATCGCTTTCGAAAGACTCGAAAATACATGGCTTACTCAAAGCACCGTTGGACCGGTTATCTACTTCGTCGAACAGATGACAAATAGAGTCTCCGAGACAAAAAGTAAACTCTGTTCCCTCTGTTGGCTCTGTTCTGGTTCGCGTCAGGGTTGAATGGAAGCGTTACTAGTGTCCACCTGAGGAAGTCGACGACCAACGGGACGACAGGTGACACAGCTGATAATAAAAGTTCAAGGTATGA